ATACAACTAGTACAATATGTACTACTCAAGAAATGGATGCCTTTCCATTTCTTTGTGGCTCTTCCTAATATTGGGTTTCCTTTCCTTAGCAGTATTTTCACAACTTAATTGCAGAATAAAAGTCTCCCTTGAGATCATGTCCACATAAATGTTCCAGATGCAGCTGTATGCGAGAAGGAATGTTTGTTTCTAAAAAAAAATCCTTCCCTTTTCAAAGCTTCAGATCTTAACAAATTGTACAGCTGAAGAGAATTATGGGTATACTTCTAATTCCTTGTTATCCTGACCATGTAAAACTTAATTCCATTGACCAGTAAAGGCTGCCAAGAGGAAATGACTTCGTAATTAAACTTGAAGGTGATGAATGAGCCTGGCTCTGTGTAAATGCTGTTCAGACAGTCTGTTTGCTGAAGTTAGGATATATATGTCCTTTGGAAATAGGATGCTGTTTATATATGTATAATTGTGGGGAGTTTCAGCATTAGACATGTTTGTTCTTTTGTGTTTTTTTTTATAAGCAGTTTTGAGCAGGAGCTTGGAAAGAACTCTTATTAAATTCCATTCTGAAAAATCCAGCCCTTTGCTGTACATTATTAAAGACCTGAAGTTATATAAGGATTCTCATTTCCATTTTAAGCCAAAAGCAATAGTTTTATGCTTTCTTCTGGTATGATAAAATGGCACAATGAAAAAATAAAATCATGTGATTTTGCTGGATTATTTGCCATCCAGTTGTTTTCCTCTTCTAGCATCCACATAGATAGATTTTGTCCATAATGATCTATCCATAACTTAGTCTTCCAACAATGCTTTCTTTGCCACTGTAACTGAATCCTTTCACCTTGCTAGGTTTTTGCATAAAGTTATGTAACCCTACCTATGAGGGCAATTTGGAAATAAACCTCTTTTTGGTTATCTATGACAGATACTTGCAGATACAGAACTTGTATTATACACATTAGAAAACTACATTACATTACTTTTTGACATAATCGCCATTCAAATTGAAGCACTTGTCATAACATCTTACAAGGTTTGAAATTCCTTAGTAATAGTCACTCAGTGCCAAATCTGGGCTATGGGGGGAGGTGTGATGAAAAACATCCCAACAGAACTCCTTCAAAAGTTCTTGGGTGCGTCTAGTGGTGTGTGGGCAAGCATTATTGTGAGCCAACACCACTCCGGAAGTGGTGCCATAGAAAATCCCGCCAAATGGTAAGATGCCAAATGAGTACTGCTAGTGAAGTTCATGGGAGTGTGGTTTGACCATCAATTCAGACGTCTACTGTGAAATGTTACAAAAACTCAGATGAGCCATCCATAACAAGTGTCGAGGCATGCTGACTTCCGGTGTGGTGTTGGATCATGATAATGCTTGCCCACACACCGCTAGATGCACCCAAGAATTTTTAAAGGAGTTCCGTTGGGATGTTTTTCATCACCCCCCTATAGCCCAGATTTGGTGCCGAGCAACTACTACTACTACTAAGGAATTTCAAACCTTGTAAGACGTTATGACAAGTGCCTCAATTTGAATGGAGATTATGCCGAAAAGTAATATAATGTTGTAGTTTTCTAATGTGTATAATACAAGTTCTGTATCTGCAAACTTTAAAGGATTTTTTATTATTACTGTTTGCTAAGTTTTTTAACTGTTTTCCTTGGAGTGTTCTATGAGGATGTTTGGATTTTGTATAAATGCTGGTTTGTCACATAATCAGTTTGTTGATAGAAAATTATTTTGTGTCAGTGTCTGCACAACTGCTATTTCTATTTTGCTTGGATAATCACATCAAAATTTTATAGGCCTGGTACAAGAGAAAATAACATGGATCGGTTGCATACTGCAACCATACAAATTAGATTGGAAAGTTCAGCATAATTTGGATCTTTGCTTATGTTTGTGTCAAAAACCCGGGCATGTTTAATAAGCATTGACTAACTTAATTTGAAAATCTTGCTAGGAAATCATGGGAAAATGGAAAAAATGTGCTTCTATCTTATCCTGAAGATTATCAGTTTATGCAGAGCTCAAACATCTGAACAGCCTGCTGCTGACGCAGTTCTGAAGCAGCTGGTGGAGAAATCTCCTGTTATAAATGTCTGTCTGTCTGCATTTTTATAGGATATCCTGTTAAGCCATAAAGGCTTGTTTACTTGTAGGAGTCATGCTAAATATGGTGTGTAATCAGACAGCTGACTTCCCTGCCTAAAGGGAATCACAGCAGCTTGGAAGAACATAAAGAAATTTATTTTGATTTCAGTAGTAATAGCCTTGCAGAGCCAAGGATTATAAGATAGCTCCTTGAGGCAAAGCTAATGAAACATTAAATAGAATATAATTAAAATCATGCATGTAACATAGCATTTTAGGATCTTGACCCATGAACAAGAAAAAATAAATCACTTTTATTTTACTTAGTTTAAATTTTCATGGCTTTTTCTATAATCTTTGTTAATTTGGCTCCAGTTGAGAATTTTGACATGTATCTAAATACTAAATTCTGTGACTAAGTGTTTGTCTTTTTGCTCCTTTTCCTACATCCACCTGTTCAAAATTTTCAGCTCCATTTAACAGTTGTTCAAGAGAGCTTTTTGAGGGAATCCTTTGCTGAATTCTTCCAGACCTTTTTTTTTTTTTTTTTTTTTGTATCAGGTTATCCATGTAAATAGTGCCAACTGGGAAAATAAGGAAAACATTCAGGTTTGGAGTTGATTACTTACTTCTCTATTTCATAAGTGTGTTAAATATGTATGACATTTACCACACTGAGCTTACTTTGGAATAATGAATTTAAGAATCTTTTTTGATAAAATTGCATCTTAAGATTATTGCTGCATAAACTCAAACTGTAAAGCTGTAGACTTTATTAATATTGGTATAAAAGCTACAGTAATCTGCCATAGGCTCAATCTATATTAATCTGCAATGGTAATAGGAATTTTCAATGACTTAAGCACCCTACGCTATGGTTGGGTGAAAAGAGTTAATTTTATTGTGTCTTGATAGATCCAAGTATCTACCATATCTGTAAAGTATCTATAAGAAGAGCCAGGTTGGTGTTATGGTTAAGGCATAAGATTAGAAACTGTGAGGCTTTGAGTTCTAGTCCCACCTTAAGCACAAAGTTGGGTGACCTTGGGCTAGTCACTTTCAGCCCAAAGAAGTAGGCAATGGCAAACCATTTCTGAAAAAAACTTTTCTGAGAAAACTTCAGGGATTTGTCCAGACAGTTTGCAAGGATCAGATACAACTGAATGGAAAGGGGGGGGGGAATCCAATGGGGACATTATACATTGTATGAGAAATATAACCAAAGCTATAATATTGATCATGCATCAAAATATGACAACATGCTTTCCATATATATGTATTTGTGTGTATATACATCCAAACACATCCACATACACATGCACTCATATATTTGTATATATGTCAGTATTGTCTAAGTCTAGTAAGATTTGCTGGTGCCATTGAGAAGCAGTATTTATGAGACATATTTGAGCAGGATAGAAAACTGAATTGCTGTTCTAGAATAGCAAATGTATGTATTCTTGTATGTAAATGGGAGACCACCAGGACTGTAGCTAAACAAAGAAGAAAAATTAAATCACAATAATTAAGAGCATTCCCCAAACATTTCAGTATTGTTAGCAAGAACCTACATGGATGTATCTATGAGATCACTAGAAGTTGAACTTGACTTGGCAATTTTACTTTATGTGATATAATTACTGGTCCTAGAATTAGTTGTACCTAAACAGTCAGGAAAGTTTGGGATAGGTAGAACATCACAATAATTGGGCACTTAATCCAAGGAAAGCAGAAACCAGGACCCAAGTGTATATGGTTTTCTTCATTAAATTTATTTATTTTTTCTTTCTCAAAATGTTTCTTGTGAAATCTTGCACCTGAAGGAAAGGTTGACATTTATTTTTGGAAAAGGTTATTAATATTCCTATTTCCATTATTAAAAGAAATTGATAAAACAAATATAATAAAGAAGTTTGTAATTTTTAATGATGTATTAGTGCCTTGCAGTTTTATTTTACACAGTCAACTGAAAAAAATACTGAAAGCATTTTATTATAGCAATACCAGAAGGTGAAAGAAGACTACAGGCTAAACCACTTAGCTTTTTTATCTGTGGAATGTGAACTTGCAAATGAAACTTTAGAAGTGTACTATAATTCACTATTTTGCAATAAGGAGGTCTGAGAAATAAAGCTTTAAACAAGCCATTCTATTATACAATGTTTGCAAATACTTTAGTCAGAAATATAAGGAGTCTATGTAAGGATGTTTGTGAAATATTTGCAGCATACTGACTGGGGATTTTAGAGGGCCGAAATGATTCCACCCCGTTTCAGCCCTTGCATATTTGAGTGTACACACAATTAGTCCTCAGTTTTGGTAATAACAATTTCATTGTAAAAACAAATGATAGCTTTCTGTTTCAGAGGTTGAAGGAACCAGAGGATTGTCTACCATGTCTTTATGGTATGTCAGGCTTTGAAAATAAAATCAAAGTAGAGATTCAGAGAAGCATTTTTGACTGTAAGGAAGCATAGCTTTAAGATGCCTAGTATGCTGTCATTTAGTTTTGAAAAAATGCTGAACTTAAAGGTTGAACAAAACACTTCTGTGTTGTGATGTAGCATCCCAAGTTTGAAAAACAGTGCTAAAGCAATTTTTGCTGCAAAAACTTTCCTCTTGTGTTGTCTTTTGGATTAGAAAGATAGATTTTTTTTTATTTTTCTTCCTTTTTTCCTTGGGTCATAAAGTTTTGAGAAAAAGTTAGTGAATCCCGGTATTATCAAAGTACAGTATATTATTATTTTTTAAGTAATGTAATTAAGTAATGTAACTGGAACCTTTACTCCAAAGAACTTTCAGTCTGAACTTTGACTCAATTAGAGCAAATGGAGCTGAACAGAATTTACAGATTTCTAGCATCAAATGTTTTACTATAAACTGCTGTGGGTTTCTTTTTTATTAGTTCTTCAAGTTCTGTGAATGTTATGAACCGTGTCTTGGCACAATTGTTGACTGAAATGGATGGGATCGAACAGTTAAAGGATGTGACAGTTTTGGCAGCTACAAACCGGCCAGATATGATAGACAAGGTAAGTCTCTTCTTACTGCTTTTGTGCCAAAATAATTATGATCATCTGACTTTGTTAAGATTACAGGCAGTGGAGAATTTAAATTTTTATTAAAATTCATGATTTTAAAACAGAAGCCAAGTCATGGTTGATGTTTTAATTGATTATTGATCTGCTGCATTCATCCACATGGTCTTTTTACGGTTACGTTTATTCCACGTTTTCACCTGTTCTTCTGAAGTTTTGAACTGTGTCCCAGACTTACTATATTTCAAAAGCAACAGATTAAGCTGAACCTAACTTGCTACTGATGAGAAGAAAAAAAAGAAAATATTTTCTTACAAGTAAAGTTATATTCTACCAGTGAGATATTCCTTCTTTAAACCTTGAATTTTTTTATTATCATTTAAAAAGCTGCCAGCTTCAACCCTTTCTGTGAAGATCACTCTTTAGTCATCATTGAATGGAATGTATTTATTTGTATCCTGCTTTTATTATTTTTGTAATAACTCAAGGCAGTGAACATATCCAACACATCTTCCTCCCCCTATTTTCCCCACAACAACCCTGTGAGATGACATGGCCCAAACTCATCCAAATGGCTTTCATGCCTAAGGAGAGACTTGAACTTGAGGTCTTCTGCTTTCTAGCCCACTGCCTTAACCACTAGAACAAACTGACTCTGCCTATGAGAAAAATAGAAATTCACTAGGCTAAAATTTCCTGGTTTTCTTGCCATCACCAAGAAGATCCATGGCCTGTATTTGTAATGGCAGACTAGAACAAAGGAAGCAGTATAGCTCCATGATTGTTTCTCAAAAGGAAGTAAGTTATGTGTAGCTAAGGAATTGTATAATTCTGAGTGAAAACTGTCCAGCACACTAGCTGTTACTGTATATCAGTGGTTCTCAACCTGTGGGTCGGGACCCCATTTGGGGTCGAACGACCATTTCACGGGGGTCACCAAACAAGGCTGTCCGCCATTTTTCCCCCTTTTCTTTGGCCACGCCCCTGGAACCCGGTGATGTATAAGTGGTTGGGGGTCACCACAACATGGGGAACTGTATTATGGGGTCGCGGCATTAGAAAGGTTGAGAACCACTGCTGTATATCTAAAGAATAAGGGCTGAGAATGAAGTGATATTTTGCGGTCTCTGATGGTACCCTATAGTTTCTGAAGTTGTAAGTTTCCTTAGCATGTGTTATGAGTACTATGTTTTGGTTTTACAATTTGAAAAAATGTAAATATAAATGAAGTATAAACCTCCCATCATTTCCTTAAGCAAAATTATTTGTTTTTTATACTTTTACCTGATGTCAACCAGATAACTCTAAAGAGTGTTCAGAAAAACACATTATAATAATTCAAATATTATCAAAATGATCAAATGATCATTCAATATATTGAACATTTATCTTTAAAAATGAGTTTTCTCAGGTGACTTATAATCTGATATTAGGTGTGAGGCACTGGTTGCCAGATATGGCACTTACTAGTTCCATCAGGGAAATTGGGACTTGTAAAGGAAGGTGGAATTAGTAGTTCAAGATAGGCTTTCAGATTTCACTTCCATCAGCTTTATCCACCTACCGAGCCTCCAATGTTTGTGTTATGCTTCTACCACTACCTCTGCTACTACCTCCAATATTATTGAGAAAGCAATTTTCAGACATCTCCTGTTTTCCCAATAAAATGATAATATTTTCACTTAGTAGAAGTACATTTAAATAAGTATGTCATAAATAAGCACTCTGGTACTTAATATTTTATACCATATTTAATTTTGGTATATTTATTTGTGACTGCCTACCAGTCTTCCATGGAATAGTGTATCCCAGTGGTGGGATTCAGTCAGTTTGCACCAGTTCAATAGAACTGGTAGCTAATTTTTTGTTGCCCAGGCCCAGAATGGACTCCCGGAAGTGGCATCTACACAGAGAACCAGTTGTTCACATATTTGAATCCCACCACTGGTGTATCCCCACCCAGACCAAGAATATAAATTCTGATACTGGAGTCAGGGCAAGGGAAATAACCACTTCCATTCAGTTATGTCACAGTGAGCTTCAGTCTGAAGTTCTCCATCTAGAGCAGTGGTTCTCAACGTTTGTGTGACGGCGACCCCCGTCACACAAACGTTCTGTGCATGCGCGGCGCTGCGCGCATGGGGGTGGCGGCGCCCCCATGCGCAGTGTGCATGCGCGATGTGCATGCGCGGCGCTGCCCCCTGATGGGAGAAAATGGCAGATCACCTTCTTTGGCGACCCCTGAAAAATGGTCGATCGACCCCAAATGGGTTCGCGACCCATAGGTTGAGAACTGCTGATCTAGAGCCACATAGCCTCCAGACACTGGATCAGGACAGGGCCCGTGATTGAGAAAAGCATTATTGCTCACCATTCCTTTCCAAAGATAGAGCTTGTATAGATAACCTTAAAATATTTTCTTGAATTCTAGTAATGAGCGATCTAAAGGTAACAAGACTAGGCTTATCTTAAAAAAGCAGAAGCAAACAGAAAAAGCAAATTTTATGGCAGGGAAGGTTGCTCCAATTTGTTGCTCACACTGTCCCACTGGGCAGCAGCTACTTCTCTGCCCTATCGCGCTCTCTCTCTGCCTATGGGCCAGTCACACTCTCTCCTACCTGGCAGCATCTACCTCTGACCCTGCCACTTTTTTGCTACGCGCTATATACCATGCCTTACATGCCTAGAAACCTGTTTGGAAACTACCTGGAATTTGCTTAATGACTCACAATCTTTGCTTAATGACAGCATTGGGGATAATCAGAATTGACATCACTGATGCTGTCACAGGACATTGCACCTTATGATAACATCCCTTGGCAATGGAAATTCTAGGCCCATTACCATGTTCAGTCAAGGACTAGCTGTATATGCTTATACAAAAGACATTTCTGCCAAAGTGGCAAAATGAAAGTCTATTTTTGCCTTTTTAGTTGGAGTGAGATTAATTAAGCAAGTAGCTTTCCTAAGTTTAAAGCAAGTTTATTAACTTTACATAATAAAAATATTGTCAATTATCAAATAACAATCTACAAGGCAGATTGTAAAGAGGTTGATGAATTGTTTACATCAGTCATTGCAGGAGATATGCAGAAGATAATCACAAACTTATCAAGCTAGTGAAAATCAAAAGTGATTGTAAGGCTATAGAAGGACCGCTTTAAACAGAGCGAATAATCAGTGATCATTAGAAAAATAAAATGTTTTATATCAGGGCTAAAGGTTTCACTTCACATATAATACTAGAGGGTAAGTTGTTCTTAGCTACTTAAAAGAATATTTGGTGATAGTGGATAGTTCAGTTAAGATACTGATTCAGTTTGCAACAGCTAGGGGGGGAAAAATCCATGATAGGAAAGGGATTAAATGCAAACCTGCTAACATTTATGGAATATCTCCATGTGGAAAACAGCATACAATACTGATTGATATATTTTGAAAAGATGTAATAGAATGCTTTATTTTTGTGTTCAGGACTATAGATTCAGGATAGATACAGTAGTGGCCAAAATTGTGGAAACCTTTTGGGAAAAGTGCACAGTAGAAATACCACCTTTGGTTAAGTTTTCACCATTTTTTTTTCTAATTTCTTTATAACTGTAGCCTTGTTCACTTAATAATACTATTTTACATTGCTTTCTGGGCAACCAGTCAACTCTTTGCACCATTACTTTAATTTTATTACGTTTTACAAGCTCACTAAATGAAAGAACACAAAAAACCCCAACCAACTTGATAACGATCACATAACCCACTGACAAATGTCCTCCTCTCAGCTTCAATACATGACATTAATAACTGAATCCTACTGTGATCTGATTGGCTCATTGCCAAAACAAGATGACACCTGATTGGCTCTCTAAACTCTCATGCTCATTGGCTACAATCAGATGAAGGAAAGCTATCTGATATCAACCTAAGCAAGTTGTGCTTCCTTTTTCTGGTTATTTGGCTATAACTTTTCATAGAATACAGTACAGATAATTGAACAAACTTTGTTGCATTACATTCTTAATTAAATTATCTTTCCATTGATATATAATTTTATGGTACTACTCCCAAAAAAGTGGTGATATTAGCCATCAGACTTCAAAAATACGTTTTTCCCAAAAGGTTTCCACAATTTTGGCCACTATAGTAAGGTGGTATTCTGTACATTACATATGTAATGGAATTTGCTTAGACAAGATGTTAGCTAACCATTTTTACAGATGATAAGACTAAAAAACAATCATAGAAATAAAATTATCTGTAGCTTTGTTAATATTGTCAGTATCTAGAGATGTTTGCTGGGGTATCCAAACAGAAAATGTTCTAGGCTCCCTATGGTATGAATATAGATTAGGTTTGTTTTTGGTTAGGTCCAACTTAACTTTTAAATCTTGAATGGGGACTGGAAACATACTTTTTCACCATGGTATTTGAATTAAGCAATTTAGTCTAATTAAAAATGCATCACAGTTAAGAAAATAGTTAAAACTTGCCTTACTTAAAATTTAAGGACAACATTTGGACGTTATTAAACAGTTACTTAAAAATGTGTCCATCTCTTAGGTTTATTAAATTATTAGCTTTTAATTTTTGATGAAAGACTTTTTATGAACCTCACATTAAATAGTTATGTGGTCTTTATTGAATTGTGGCAAATTTGCCTCTGCATGTTTTTATTTATTGATTTTATAGCTGACATTTATAAAGGTATCTGAATTTCCAAAGGAATCTGCAGGCTATTTTTTAAATGCCAAATACAGTAAATAAATATTTCCAGGTGTGCTGAAATGTTCTTTGTTTTCAGTCCTTCATTTGTCAGAAAATATTGAGAATGATAAATCAGCCTTGAGGCTACTGAGTTTGCTCCCCTTTACAATTCAGTTTGTGACAGTTTGAGGAGCATTGTGAGTTTTTCACTAAAGATTTATTACTTACTTGACAAAACAAGGCATAGATGAACTTGTTGAGTTGCGTTTTTCACAGCTGTACTGAGACTGAAATAA